TGGCTGGCGCCTTAGCCGGTTGAGCTATAGGCGCCGAGCCAACAGCGGTTTATTTGGTCAAGAGCTGCTCCTGGGTTGAGTGTGCTGCAGTCTTGAGAAGTGGCCAGTATACCCTTCAGCCACCTCAAACTACTGGCAGTGTCTCAACAGTGCCAACCCCACTCATTTCACAAGGAACCACTTCTCATCCTTTCCTTCCAGAGGGTGACAAGACACCACCTCCCACAAAGCCTTCTCTGTGCTGATACAAGCGCTGCTCCTGGCTGGCCCTCACTGTGAACCTCTCCTGTGTGCACTGCCTCCCTTTCACTCTGCTGGGCCCCAGCCACTTCCTGCAGTTTCTCAAACACACCAGGCCACTCCCACCTCTGGGCTTGTGCTTGGCTGTCTCCTCTTCCCCTACTTATCTGCAGCACTTGCTCCCTTACCTCCCTTGGGCAAGGGAGTTCCAACCTACCTTCTCCGGGAGCTCTTTCTTCTCTCTAGAAAACTGAACGCCCCCTCCACCATGTTCACACTTTTCTCCTTGCTTTTTCTCCAGAGCTTTTCTCATCCCACAAAGAAGCGATTTACTTATCTTATTCCTTGTCTATCCTCCCCCCGCCCACTGTGGAATATAAGCTCCATAAAGGCAAGAACTTTTTACTAGATAAGATGTTACAGATGCTGTATCTCCAACGGAAAATCCTGCTAACTCACCATAGATGCTCTGTAAATGTCTGTTGAATAAATAAACACAATGGTAGGGGCAAAGCCTGATCCAGGTAGGTTGAAAAGAGAATGGGAGGTAAATATGTAAAAATAGTATAAACAACCCTCTAGAGATGGTTTTCTACAAAGGGGAGCAGAGAAATGGGGAGGTTGTGCATACAGGTTGTGGTATATAGGTTTGTGTAGGTGTACAGGTGTGTGTGTATACCAGAATGGTCCAGGAGAGGGTGTGGAATGACAGGTGCAGGAAGGTAGTGACACCCACTGGAGCTAAGTCTTTTTTTTTTTTCTTTTTTTTTTGAGACAAGAGTCTCACTATGGCACCGTAAGTAGAGTGCTATGGTGTCACAGCTCACAGTAACCTTAAACTCTTGGGCTCAAGTGATTCTCTTACCTCAGCCTCCCAAATAGCTGGCACTACAGGTGCCTTCCACAACACTAAGCTTAGAGCTAAGTCTTGATCAGCCCAAGGCAACGAGATCTGAAGCTGAAGAGGGCCAGCTCTAAAGAGCAGGCAGAGTGTTTGGGTATAGATGTAGCCAAATCTAGTCATGTAGCTCCCATCTCAGAACCAGGCTGGAAATGAATCCCCCCTTTCAATTTCCATGACACTTTAGCCAAAGTCTCTGCCGGCTCTGCCTGCTTTCTCATTTGCATAACTAACATAAGATACCAGGCACAATTAGTCAAGGGGTAGACACTGGTAGACACAACCTGGCAATGATCTTGTCTGGTCCTTTCTTCAAAATACCAGTAACCAAATCACAGAATCACTGCTGTAGGAGTGGAAGGACCTAAGATCACTAGTCCAATCCTATTATTATAAGTAAGAGGTGGGAGGCGCCTGTGGCTCAGTGAGTAGGGCGCCAGCCCCATATACGAAGGGTGGCGGGTTCAGGCCCAGCCCCGGCCAAACTGCAACAAAAAATAGCCGGGCGTTGTGGTGGGCGCCTGTAGTCCCAGCTACTTGGGAGGCTGAGGCAGAAGAATCGCCTAAGCCCAGGAGTTGGAGGTTGCTGGAGCGACTCCGCCGCACCCTACCGAGGGCGAAAAAGTGAGACTCTGTCTCTACAAAAAAAAAATAATAATAATAAGTAAGAGGTAACTGAGGCCCAGGGAGAGGAAGTGTTGGCCCAGTTCCCAAGTTAGTGCTGATCTGGGGCTAGCGTCCAAGCCCCTGACTCCCTCTTGAAGGCTCTTCTGCAGCCCCCAGCAACTTCTACCCTACACTGTGGCAACCTGAGTAACTACACAAGCTAGCACAATGACACAAACACAGAACGTAGGACAAAGGATTAAGACATTTTTGTGGCATCACAGTTCCTGCCAGGACTTGCTGCAGCAGGTCCATGTTATCCAGAGAACCCAGCTCCAAGCTTGCGCCGGGCCCCAGAACCTTCCCAGCAGGTTCCCTCATGCGGGCTAGAAGGAGGAGACAACGTATGGGCCTTTGGAGAAGACTTTTGGCAGAGCTGAACAATATCTGAAACCTTCATTCCTTTCCAAGTAGCACTTTGATGTCTACAAAATTTTCCTAGGAATTACTGGTGAAAGCAGGCAAAGGGGCAGTGCATGTGGCTCATTGAGTAGGGCGCCAGCCCCATATGCTGAGGGTGGCAGGTTCAAACCCAGCCCCAGCCAAACTGCAACAAAAAAATAGCGAGACGTTGTGCTGGGTGCCTGTAGCCCCAGCTATTCGGGAGACTGAGATAAGAGAATCGCCTAAGCCCAAGCGTTGGAGGTTGCTGTGAGCAGCGTGACACCACAGCACTCCACCAAGGGCCATAAAGTGAGACTCTGTCTCTACAAAAAAAAAAAAAAAAAGAAAGCAGGCAAAGATACATGTGAGAGGCAACTCACTGTGGCTTTGTTCGTACAGACCGAGCATCCCTGATCCAAAAATCCCAAATGCTCCAAAATTGGAACCGTTTTGGCTGGCAGCAGGAAACTCAAAGGCAATGTCCACTGGAGCATTCCAAACTCCAGAGAAGCCTGAAATCCAAAACATCCATAGTGCCGAGCATTTTGGATAAGGGCTGCTCAACTTGTAATAGTCACAAATTATGAGCACACCTGCATTTACGTCACCTTGAGGCAAGAGACTGAGAAGACTTCACTTTTTAACATAGTATACTCCTGCTGTTTGAATTTATTATGACTATGTAATATTATTTTTAAAATTCAAAAGAAGATTAAAAGGACAAACAAAACCTTCTCTGATCTGGAAAGATGTTAAGAACATGACAACGCAAGGTACTTTACGGTTTATACTTGTTTTCATTTTTGAACAGATATCAAATTTTACAAAGGTATCAAATATAGTATAAAAACTATTATTTTGTATAAAAAATTATATTTTATACTAACAATCTCCTTCCTTGGGTTCCTAATAACTTCAAAATAAAAAAGGTAGAGACAGCAAGTTGTCCCAGACATCCTTTCTTCCCTTCTTCTAGAGCAGTGGAATACCTGAGTTTTTAGACACATAATTGTCTCAGAATACCCACTACATTTCCCAGTCTCTGTGGGAAGGTACCAGTCTTCTCTAGATGAGGCCAGGTAAGGCCACATCGCTGAGTTCTGGCCAATAGAATGAGAGCACAGGGGATCTCTGGGCAGATTCTGGGTCACGCCCTTTAAGAACAGGGGTGTACACATATAAGAAAAATACAAATTATTTATTTATTTATTTATTTTTTTTT